TTTTTTTTTTTTGTGGAAACTAGGGCTTTTCTGAATAAATATGGATTTTGGGGAAATTAAGGCTTTTTGTAACCATCAGGGGTTTTTCTGGGAAAAAATAGGATTTCTCTGAACAATTAGGTTGTTTTTGGGAAATTTAGGGTCTTATGCATTGCACTTATTATATTATTATCTTATTTATGGATATGTTTGCATGCTAAGACCTTTAATTGTAGATATAGTGACAACAGTGTAGATATAGTGACCAAAAAAAAAAAAAATCTTCGCTAGAACTCTATTTTGTTGTAGTATTGTATTGTAGGGGCAAATTTTCTATTTTTGTAAACTAGGAGACCACTTCATCAAATGTGAAACTTCCATTGAGTACTTAGGTGGTAGTTTGAAGATAGTTCATGGTTTAGATGTGGATAGGTTTGGGTATTTTGACTTAAAAGAAGAAGTTGAGAAGCTGGGGGTTGATAAGTTTGAAAAACTTGTATACAGAATACCTGGGAAGGTTGGAGCATAAAACTTTAAAGATGTTGTTGATGTTAGTGTAGTTATGGAGATGATTAGTCATGCTACTAAGGGATAAAACATTATTAGAGGTTTATGTGGTTGGAAAATTTACAGATGAAGATAACAATGAAGAAGAAGCTAGTGTGGAAAGTGCATCTAGGTCAGAGGAACAATTTGATGTTGATTCATATATAGATAATTTCTCTAATACAAAGAATCCTAATGATGTGGATTTAGGAGGTGAGTCACAGAAACATGGTGATGTTGATACAGAAGTGAGGAATAACCTAAATACTCCACAGTTGCCTATATCCAATGTGGGTGACTGTGAAGTTGGAAGTGGGTCAGGAGATGACAGTGAGGATGGAGACTATTTTCCTGTTGATGATAGCTCATTTGATGATGAACTTTCTGTTGATGATATTGTTTCTGATGATGATGGTGAATATCTTGAGGCAAGACAGAATCTGAAGAAGCAAAAATAAAAAAAAAAATAAAATAAAAAAATAAAAGATATTAGAAGATGAAGGGGAATGTGCAGACAACATGAAGCCAAATAAGGCCATTGAGAAGGACAGTGAAGATTCTGGGTTTGTAAATTGTGCATTGGTATCTGAAAATTTAGGTAGTGATTGAGAAATGGATGAGGATGAGAACTGTATAGGTAGAAGGAAAATGGTTACTTATGACCCCAAATGTGACCATAGCACTCTTGAGTTTATGTTAGGGATGAGATTATAAGCATAGAGAAGTTGAAAAAAGCAATTAAGAATGTAATACTTGCTTAGTTTGTCTTTAACCTATTCGGCCCGGAACACAAATACCTTCTTGATTTCCGGTTTTGACTTGCCTCAACTTTCGCAATTTTTTAATGGAGGGACAAAAAGTGTCTGAAAACTAGCAAAAAATAGTTGAGAGTGAAATGTGTTGATGGTTGTCCTTGGACCTTGTATGCAAGTGCAGTTATGAAAGTGGGCAGTGTAGCAATTAAACAGTTCAACAAGGAGCACAAATGCTATAGAAATGTCCACACCATGCAAGTTACATCATAGTGGATTGCTGAGGAGTTTCTTGAAAAATTCAAGAAGAATCCAAGCATGTCCATTACTTAAATAGAAAAAGCAATATCTGAAAAGTTTGCAGTACAACGTACAAAGTGGAAGTTTTATAAAAGAAAGTGGAGAGCTCTTGAGATATTAGAGGTTCAGTAGTTGGCCATTATGCTTCTCTAAGAAGTTACATGACAGAGTTGTTAAGGCAGACAGAGATTGAAGGTTTTAGTTTCTTCTTGGTGAAAAAACAAAATTCAGAGGTTTCTATGTGAGATTTAATGCACTGAGAAAGGGTTTCATTAGTGGTTGTAGGTCCATTTTAAGATTTTATGGGTGTTTCTTAAAGACTTTTATAGGTGGGGCTTTATTGTGTGCCACAAAAAAAGATGGCAACAATCAAATATACCATGTGGCTTGGGCAGTTGTTGAGACATAAAATGAGGAATGTTCGAGGTGTTTTCTAAGTATTTTGTTTACTGATCTGGAAATTAATCATGGTCTTGGATATACTTTCATGGCAACAATCAAATATACCATGTGGTAATTTTTTAATTTACTCATGTCTGAATTTTTACATTTTTTATTTTGTTTTCCTTTTGCATTGGCTTCTGAATGCATTGAGAGATTTGGCCCCACATACTGAGCACAGAAACTGTGCAAGACATGCATATATGAATTAGAAGAAGAGTTTCAAAGAGCACTCATTGAAAACCATTTTTTGGAAGATTGTGCTCAGCACTCACTTGGGGGACTACAACATATATTTGGAAGAGTTGAAGTATGAAGATCCAGATGCTTATGAAGATTTCATGGGCAGAGATCCTACCAAAATCTATAAGGCTTACATTTCTCCATTGTCTAGATGTGATATGAATGAGAACAATGTGGGTGAAACATTGAATGGACTGATTGTTAAGGATAGAAACAAGCACATTATTGATATGCTTGAGTTTGTTAGAAGTTAGTTAATGAAAAGACAACATGACAAGTTGCTAGGACTTAGTGGGCATACAAATGAGATTTGTCCTAGAATAAGAAAGAAGTTAGAGCACAACAAATACATGTTTAGGCATTGTATCACAAAGCCAGTTGTTGGTGAAAGATTTGGGGTTGTGCATTAGGATGATTGGTTTGTTGTGAACTTGAAGAACAAGACATGAACTTGTGGATATTGAGATGTTACATGCATACCATGTGTAAACTGTACACTAAATTGTGTATTTTTTTCAATTTGCACAAATAGATTTGTTTTGGAAATATGGGTTGAATATCTATTCTATTCATGACTTTTGGATATATGTCTTTTGTGAGAAGAATATATGAATTAAACTATCTGAAAACAAGAATCAAAGAGCATGAAGATGAGGCTTATTTTTATTAATATTTTGGGGAAATTGTTTTTCTCTCTCACTTCCGAGATTTTTCTTCCTTGGATAAGATTGGCCCCCCTTCTACAATAATGGTGGCCAAGTATATGTATGACCTCACATATGGTCATGGAATAATGTATAATAATACAAATGATATTTTAATGTGGTGTGACCGAGTGGGGCCCAATTATGATACTTGACGGCTAAGGTAGACGTCTATCTTGTCGGTAATGTGCGT